TACCTCTGGTGCAAATTACTGACCTCTGTCATCATTTTAAGTGGGGGAACTTGCACAATCGGTGGCTGACTAAATACTTTTTTGCCCCACTGTAGGTGTTTGAAAAGAAAGGGATAAAAAGACCAGAGAGACTACAGACTGCAGCGCTGGCTGTTACGATAAAATGGCCAAAATTTAATGTCTGGCAAAAGTTTTTAAATGGTCCTGAACTGCAGAAGTTTCATTCTACATTGTCATCCCCGTCTATATCACCATCTTCCACATCCTGCATAGGTTCTTGTATTTTTCTTCTAGTTATTATTCCCACTATTGAGCCAGGGAAACAAAACTATATTTGAAAGAAATGAATAGCCTATTTTAAAGCATTTTAGCTCTTTATCACCCAATATTTGAACATTTAGTCAGTGCAAAATCAAAATCAATGTGAAGCAACAGGTGAATATCACCCACTGCAGATAGACCAATATCAGTTAACAGTATCAGTCACTACTAATTATTTGCTCATCAGATATTGGTATTTCATTAGTTCAGATCATTTAGCTGCTGTGCACTCTCATCATGGTCTTTGGTGGTCTTTGACTGTTTGTGCTCTCTGTGTAATTTTAATGAATATATTGGTGCCATGTGGCTCTGTGTGACATGAAATGCATTCCTAACTCTATCAGCAACTGTTTCTTTCACAGTGATCAGCCAGTGAAGTACAACAGCTGTTTAAAATAATACATATGTGGGAAACTGGGATTATGTGACAGTGGTTTCTAATATCCATCCCTTGCACAGTATTGCAGCCCATTGTCTCAGCTGTTCTGTGCTACACAAATATACAGCACAGAACAGCAAACGTTTGGTTGCCTTTACATATTGTTCCAGTTTGACTCCATCCTTCTTGTTTCCGATATCTTTTAGTTTCAGGCTAATATCATCTAATTATGATGGGTTTATGTTTTCCATTCACAATACTCAGGCATGTGGAGTGTAGAGGCAGAATGTAAGGTTTGATCTTCAACCTGAGTGACTTTTGTATGTTCTGAAAATGTTTTCCAGTTTTCCAAAGGAGTTTAGTATGGGGAAGAATGCAGATCTACGGTGCTCTGTATGTATATGCAATATTTCCTGTTTAGTCTTAGTGACACACATGTTATTATCACACAACTCACATATGCTGCACAGTGCAAAGTGAAAGTAAGAAACACTTTTTCCCCAACTGTAAGGAATGTGGGATATCAAAATGATTTGATCTCTCACAACTGGTGCTAATATTAGTGTCCAAAAAATGTTACTGTTTGTCTGTCACCTGCTATTTTTACCACATCAGCGTTCCTGCACATATAATAACAAAAGCACAGATGAAGGTATGTAGTTGCTTTAGTTAATGGTTTTTGTTGTTTCGTTTTGTTTTTTTTGCCTTGTTAACGTTACCTGTGAGCTAAAATGTGCCCTGGGTGAGTGACAGCATTAAGTACATACTGTACTGAGTTCTGACATTAGTCCTCTGCCAGGTGGCCTTCTGACAGGGAAGTATCACTATGAAGATAAAGATGGCTCCCAGCCTGCAGGACGATTCTTTGGCCACAGCTGGGCTGCAGCATACAGAGACAGGTGAAGATCTGTACCAACAAATTCTTTTATGTTGTTTTTGTTAACCATAACCGTGATTGTGCTCCTGCTCTGTGGAAGATACTTTGGAAACAGCGTACGGGTCAGAGAAACCCTCGCTGACTTCTGCTGCTATGCGCTGGATGCATCATCACTCTCAGCTTAAGGTACCCACATGGACAGCTGCAGGGACAAAAAATGTTATGCTCATGGTAATTTATGTATTCACCAGGTAAAGATTAGCCATACGGTTAAAATAATAATAATTTCATTTCAAATTGCTACTATTGGAAACCTGAAAATGAAGAACTATGAGTTACCACTGAAACACTGTGATGTACCAGTAAGCCTGAAATGACGTCTCTTATTTTCTGAAAACTATCCCAAGAGTCAGTAGTTACACAGCCTTTGTTTTTCCACTGAAAGATTTTAACTAGTTTTTAATAACTGTAATTATGTTTTAGTGCAGTGGAAATGCCCCTACTGGAGGTAGAACAAAACACGAGTGCTTTTCATATTGTTTGCAATATTTGAAATGGATTCTTTTAGAAAGAAAATACCACAAAATACCAAGTGAATAGGAGATGCTGCACGTAAACTACATATTCTGTAATGACCAGGATTTTGTTCCTATTTTTAAATTGTGACAAATCCTCCACATATACATCTCTTAATAAATTAACAGACTCCAGCTGTGCAATTCCTGTTTTGAGTATTTATATTAAATAGCTACAGCTGCTCATAACCTTACTATGAGCTATAATCTCATAAAACCCTTGCCATACCAGTGTCGTTTTCTCCAACACATGCCTCCAGGGTGATCTTGGAGATGGAGTCATTATTGGCATGTCGAGCATGGAGCAGCTTCAGCAAAGTATGGCTGCTTGCGGAAGAGGGTCCTCTGGATCAGAGAGTGGTCGACGCCTTCAAAGAAACCTGGAATCTCATAGCCCACGAGTGTCCAGACTACTTCAGATGAGAACCTTCTTGGTCATTTAATTTTATAGAATTTTTTTCCCCTAATTACACTTAATTAGGTTTTTTGAATTCTCCCCTGAAGTGTACATTTTCTGTCCTTGGAATAGATCAGTACACCTTTTCCATGTTTAATCAAAGAGCACTTCATTGTCATGTCTATATAAAAAGAAAACCCCATTAATACTGTTTTGTGGAAAAATAACTTTCTGAAGAATCTGGATTAAATTTGTCACATCATCAAAACGTGTATATTATTCATGAGTGTTGGTTTAACATGAACAGTGATTTACATTGGTGTTTGAAAGGAAAGGGACTTCCACACAATATCAGTCCCTCACTGTGCTGAGGGAACTTGAAGAACAATGACATCACAAACGATTTAATCCTTTGAATACAGTCCACATTGTCCAAAACTAAAATTCAAGATGAAGGACAGAAGTTCATGTTTTGTAGGTATAAAAAGACCAGAGAGACTACAGACTGCAGCACTGGCTGTCAGGATGAAAGCTAAATGAAATGTCCGTCTGCTTTTGAAAGCAGGAATTTTCTTAAAAATTCTCCCGCCTTGCAGAAATTTCATTCTGCATCATCTTCATCATCGTTATCATCTTCCTCATCCTGCATAGACTCTTCCTCACCAGCGAAGTTCTCAAACTCGCCTGTTTCTGAGTTCCACATACACTTGATCTGCACCTTGAATTCTGCCATCTCAATACCAAAGAGTTTCTGTGGACAAAAAACAACCCTCAGTCAACAGAAATACATTTAGTGTGTGACAGTCAACATTTTTAATCAAGTAAAAAACAAGAACTCACCAGAATACGAGCCTGCTCTGGAGTGAGCGTGTCCCCATCTTTACAAACTTCATAGTCCTTCAGCAGTGTTACCACTCCTGTAGCACAAGATAAAAGAAGTTGGCTTTATATTTAAAAGCAGTGAATTCACACATTTCGTGAACACACTAATACCGACTCGGACCTGATTTGAAGCAGAAGCCTGATATTGCTTACATAGACTGTATATACTGTAGCTACAATACATCTCCCACTTATAGTGAAGCCTCAACCTGCTGTTGCCATCTTTCAGTATTGAAATAAGATGTGAGGGGTGGAACTAACAAACAAAAGACTGACACAGCACCGTCACGCGATGGCCACTTGTCAGTCACAGGTTTGGTCTGCCCTGTTCTGTCTCATCGTCCTTTTTCACCTTACATGCATCTTATTCACAAGCGGAACATCATTTGACAGAGGCTATAAACTCACCTATACTACGGAAAAACGATTTGGGGCTTATTAAACCAACTTCAAGTTTTTACATTACAAAGGTTGTTCACGTCTTACTACGGTATATCGCCATGGTAACATCAGCCCTAACCTGCTTTGTAGCAGATCATGTTTAAGATAAGTGACCAATCATTTCTCCAGAATGTAGCACAGATGCAAATATCAAGTCTGTCCTTCCATGAAGGTCCAAAGAAATTCCTCGGAGCAACTTTATTCATCCATTTTTTCTCTCCTGCTTTCTACTAACAATTTTATACGGGCAAGTAATTTGACATTTTCTACAATTGTTAATACAGCAATATCCTAAACCTTGAACTTATTGACTTCAGAAAAATGAGTCCACTTACTAGTTTGAAGTACGATTTTATTTGTTTTATGCAGAGAAACATACAGCCTGTTTCAAACCACTGGGGTTGCAGCTAAACCACTGGGGAAAACTACTTACACTTAGGCAACACTTTAATTTAACTGTAATTACAGTCAGAGCTTGCCATGTTTAATGACAGGGCAGTTTTACTGATAGGTCTTTGCCACTTTTCCCCTCCTGGGAAAATAAATAGATTTTACTTCGCACTTTTACAATCTTGCTAACCACACCACTTAACGCACAGATATATTCCTCGAGAGCTTTTGAACCTTTTTGATCTAACATATTTTACTTTTTTTATTTTGTAAAGTATGCCAGTCTGCTGTCACAATACCTGTCCATGTTTGTGAGTGACCATATGCTGCAAACATTGCCTTTTTTGGGGATTGATGGTGGAAACTCTGGGCTGACTTTACTGAGCTGATAATCACCTTCGTGTGACTTCTTAGCATAATTACCAATGTTAGGGCAAGTAACAGCTCTGTAGTACAGGGAAGCATTTACTTGGACTTCTGTACAGTCTTTTTTTTTTTTAACCAGATGCCACATGCTGATCATTATAAAGAACGTCAGTTTAAGCCACTTCCACATTGATTACACTTTTCAGTCCTGGAAGCTACAACCATCTTTTATATACAGATTGTGATTTGTCAAGTCACAGACCTCCATTAATTAATACCAATTTTAAAAAGTTTAAATCCATTGAGCCACGGTGTTGTAGTGGGTGACGAGAACAGTCCTTTAATCTCACCTTTCTTTAGAGCAGTAGGAAGCCCTAATTGCCTCAACTGGGGTTCCATTGAGTGAGTAAACTGTTCAAGGGGTCCCTCATCCAGCGTCACATCCATCTGAGCCTGGTTTCCTGCGCGAGCATAATCCACCTCTTTGAAATGACTGAAATATCTGTGGGTAAAGAACATCGCTTAGTGATTCAATGAAGACATTGGAGGATCACAGCAACAAAGATGAATTTAGCAAAGCCTTACTCTTGTACTTCCTCCTTTGTTTTATTTGTGAATAGTACACCCACTTCTCCACGCAGATGCTTGCCGACCTGAACATTATCAAAATGAATAAACATATTGAGTGACGGCAGTAAACCACAGCAGTAACTTTTCAAGTTTGCCTGAGATCTTGCTTACCTTGTGCAAATTATCTTTGTATTCATCTGTATCTCTTTTCCCCAAAGCAATAATCATGACTTTATTTTTGCCGAAGAAGAATCTGTGGAACAGAGATGAGATCATTTACGCTGTTGAATAAATATAGGCTCTTTCCAAATACTTGTTTAACATTTTTGAGAACTTTGGTTCATATCAACATGCTGCAAGATAGGATTCATAAAAAAAAACCAAACACAAATCATAATGATGCTGACTTTTTAAAAAAATGATTGATATTTAAGCTGATTGCTGACCAATAACAATCAATAGACAAGATGTTTAACTATGAGATAATATGGTTACTTTTCTTCTAGAAAAATCCACACTATTGTACCCATTCAGTAATGTTCCTTATCCCATAGTCAACGTGTATATTAATTGTACTATTTAACCAAAAACTTTAATTTCCATACTTAAAAAGGAGTTATAAGCAAGAAACCCCCAAAATGGTATCTCTTCTACACACAAAAGACTAACCTATAGAAAACTCTGTTTCATGCCTTTAATTCAATTTCTCCTCCTCTTCTCTTTGATGTAATTTTACCTTCACTTGACTGTAACTGCAGAAGTGCATCCTACTTACTGGCTCTGTTAAAATAATCAAGCCTACTAACAGGCAACTTAAGATGAGGGGGAAAATGTAGTCATTAGAGACTGTAACTGATGCCTCATACTATACGACAGTGGAAAACTGACACCTAAAGAAGTTCTGATAACAAGTTCTTTAGTCTGGAAAACAGGGCGTCCATATTTTGCTGCTATCAAATTCAAACTCAGCTAGATTTTTACCTTTTTTCAGTTCAAAAAATTTGATACGTTTTCTAAGTTCTATTGTGGATATGGGTTTAGGTGATTTACACGTCTTCATATCTATATTTTACACAGCATCCCAATATCTTACAAATTGGGGTTGTCCATGTAATAATTTATTTCCCGAAGGGCTCCAACATGAGTAGAGGTGGAAATGCCACCGAGAAAACCAAGTGCAACCCGATCCTTGATACACACACGTACCTTAGTGCAGTACTAGGACTGAGCCTTGAAATCAGAACCCTAAGATGTCATTACCTGACGTGATAAGGGAAAGACCATCTCTGAATCGAGGAGGGGGCCTAGGGGTATATCTTTCGCCATCGTACAATGCTGTGATTGCAGCCATTCCCCAACTCTCTGTGAATGGTACTCATGGCCATTGATCAGTGGGCCATTGATCGGTAGTTGTTGATCAATGGTCATGAGAATTTGCATAATCACGATGAAGGAACTGACCTCCCACCCCATTGTTCCTTCAGTGGGCTGGTTTCGGTCATTATACAAATGTACTGTTTATAAGACTGGGGAAACCGGCAGTCAGCTGAGACTGAAGAAGTCACGTGGATGAGTGACGAAACGTTTCTCCCACTGAAAACGCTACGTCCAGATGAACAGAATCAACTTTTGGAGATGTCGTTACCTGCTGTGTTTCCACGCTGTCCGGATGTCTTTCAGCTTGTTATTCCTCATATTAGCCACCGAGAATATGAACAGGTTTCTGTAGGTGTCCACACATTCCCGCAACTAAAGAACAGAAATGAGGTTTAGGTACTTCAGGTGTTTTGGAACAGACCTAGCCTAGCTGAACTTAACACGTACAAGATGGTGACTGCAGCACTGAAAATACTCACCTCCTGAATTAGCTTCTGTTTTGACTCCAGCCCCTTCTTGGCTGTTTTCGTTAAAGAAACTGAGGGGGAAATGCGAAACTCACGATGAACAAATGTCAGCCAGCAGTTTGCGTATACACGTGCATGTATCAATGAGCAGCCAGGAGTACAACCATGCTGAGGCAGTTAAGCTAACGCTAGCTTTAGTTAGCTCACTTTTGGTAGCTTTCACTAGTGAAAAAGAAGTTTTACAAATACAACATCACTTAAAACACTTCACCGACGCCCATATGCTTTTACACTTGAAAAAGATGTACTGTGCTTTACTCACTCTTCTTATCTCTCTTTGATTTCGGCATGATTCCTCCTCACGATGCCACAGCAGCAGACACACACACGTGAAGTAGAAGGACCCCAAGTGTTTCTGTTTAGCATGGCTGACCGTGTACTGCCTGACATAAAAAAAGCGTTATATATGTATTAATAACAAATAAATGCTTGACTTCTATAATTTTTGTCACCTTAAGATATTGGGATTTGCTGCTATATAAATAACACTGAATTGAAATAAATTACACAGTAAGATTAAATGATATGGGCAGCACGGTGGTAAGCACTGTTGCTTTACAGCAAGAGGGTCCTGAGTTCAATCCCACCATCAGTGTGTACGTTTGCATGTTCTCCCCGTGTTTGCCTGGGTTCTCTCCGGGTAGTCCGGATTCCTCCCGCAATCCAGACATGCAGCTAGCGGGTATAGGTTAATTGGAAACGATAAATTGCCTTTAGGTGCGAAAGGTGGTCTGTGTCCGTGTGTTAGCCCAGCGACAGACTGGTGACCTGACCAGGTTGTACCTAGACACCAGCCCCCCTCCCTTCCACCTACCCGCGACCCTGAAAAGGATAAACTGAAGAGGATGGATGGATTAAATCAGGGGTGTCAAACTCAAAAACACAGTGGGCCAAAATTCAAAACTGGAACAAAGTCGCAGGCTAACGTTAATATTTATTGAAATATATTTATTCCTCCAGATATAAGAATGAATCTTTTCTTATGGACTCAAACACATTTTGCTAAAAAACTGAATATGGAACAAGCAAAGCAGTATATATATTTGCTGTATAATACCAGTAGGCCAGCTCTGATAGTAATTTGGCATTTGGCCCGCGGGCCAGAGTTTGACACCTATGGATTAAATAATACATTTCGCATCAAACTAGGCACACTAGTGATGGTGCTTGATAACATGTTATACACGCAGTGATTATTTATTTATAATTTTATAATTACATTTTTATTTATTTAACTATTTTATTTCATTTAAATATTTTTTCTGTTCTCTTGCGATCTTCATCATTATTATTATTTCATCCATTCTAGCCACTTATTATTACCTATTTTATTTATTTATTTACGTTGAATTCCGTTTTATTTATACAGCATCAAATCACAACAGCAGTTGCCTCAAGTCGCTTTATATCGCAAGGTAACGACCCTATAGTAATACAAGAAAAACAGATAAAACCCCCACAATGGTAAATGGACTGAGTCTTGTATAGCGCTTTTCTACTCTCCCTCAAAGTGCTCTATAACATGCCACATTCACCCAATCTCACAAGTCTCTATGCTAACTATATTCACACTCCGTGTGGGGTTAGTATCTTGCAGACTGGAGGAGCCAGGGATCGAGCCACCCTCAGTCATATGTGAACCCAGGGAGGAAAAGGTCCCTTTGAACAGGAAGAAACCTGCAGGAGAACCAACCAAGGAGAGGCAACCATCTGCCACTACCGGTTAGGGGTTAGTAGATGAAGACAGATCAGAAACATGCAGTGAAAGAGAGCCAGAAATTAATAATAACTAAATACAGAGAGCTGTATAAACGCATAGTAAATGAAAAACGTGACTGAAGAAGAAAATTCAGTGCATCATCTGAATCCCCAGCAGCCTAGACCTATTGCAGCAACTTCATCTATCATCGATTTTGTTATGTGCTATTGAATAACTTTTGGAATAAATAATGTATATAATGGAATACATGAATTAAATAAATTACTAAAGATCTAACACCAGTGTTCATAGCAGTTTATAAGCAAGACATTCGTCTCCTCTAGAAATACATGAAATTTGGCAGCACAACTTATTTAAGATAAGTTATTTAAAATGGCTTACTTTGTAGCAAAAATAATAAGCCAATAGAAGGAAAATTAATGAGGAACCTGGTCTGTTTGCATCACTTATTTCTGAACTAAAATGTCTTTGGACTTGGATGAAGATGCAAAGTTAATTCTAAAATAATAAGGACAATGGACAGATTAATCCGCTAGGTGGCGCATGAGCAAAACAACTTCATAAGTGTAGTAGCCGAATGTGACAAATGTATAAAATGCTCTAAGGTGCATACTTGCTTGAGCCACTTGCTCTTATAACCGTGTCTGTCTTTGTTTTTTTTTTTGCAAAAGATTTCCACTTGTTCAAGTTTGGGCCTTTATGAGTTGTTTGGGCACGAGGGGCATTTTGTCAGCTTCGGAAATGATGTAATCATAGATTTATCCACTGTGATATCACCCTTTCACATAATGATCCTGATAATCCTACAGACTATAGGTGTATACTGTATGACATAATAATAAAGAGGTAACATCAAAAAGGCATAAGACATGTTAGGACAAGACAAGAAGAAAGGAAATCAAAACGAAAGCAAATAAACGTAAAAAAAAACATACAATGTTCGAATGATTCCTTCATAAGGACATAATAGCCCTCTCTTATTTCTCTTCTTTGCACCGATGCTGTAAATGCAGGTCCTGTGTGTGTGTGTTTATACAATATTATACAATTATTATTATTCCAATACAATATTTTGAAAATATACTGCAGGCCTATGGAATTTGAAAAAACAACAACAACCAATAAGACTGTGACTTCGCTAAAACTCAAACATATCACATACAGAGTAATACAGTAATACAGTGCAGACAGAAACTGCCACATTGTGCGTCCCTATAAAAAATATACACGTTTATTATTGTGGTAAAGGTTTCATATTGATACTTGTTTAAATAAAATAAACAATTCATTATTCTAATAAACGCACAAAAACGCCAGGCCTGACTTTAAAGCGCATAAGAAAAGAAATTAGGTTATAGTTCACTTTATCCTATTAATTAGACTTAAGCCTTCCTCAGCCCGTCGATCCCTCTCGTCAGTGTGTGTGTGTGTGAGAGAGAGAGACAGGGGTAGGGAGGTGGGAGGGGCTCCTAGAGGTGATAGTGCCTAGTTTAGCACTTTGCAACATGATCCGCGGAGAGGCCGGGCTTTGCGGCGCTGCATCCTGCCACACCGCGCCACATGGAGACCGGATAGAGCCGCGGTAAACTGGGCATGATAAAGAAAGAAGGTGGACCATTTTCCTCCTCTGTCGGCTGGCTATATGTACTCGCACAGCATCAGCAGCGCCTGACAAAGCAAAGGCAGGCGGAGACATGAGGGTGACGGGAAGTGCTGCTGCTGCTGGAGATTCTTGCGGTCTGCGTCAAACCTCTCGGTCCTTCAGAAGATGATGCTCGCTGTGTCTCTTAAGGGACTTTTCTGGTTCGTTGTGTGAACCCACGCCACGCTGAAGGGGGTCTTTGTTAATTTCTCGGGTTTAAACGTCCAGTAGCAGCAGCGGGGATAGTGATGGTCAACCCTTCTCCAGTTGCTCAATCACTGAATCACTGTCTGCATCTGCATTGTAAAGAGAAACTCACCCCGAGGGAGTGAGGGATTTTCAAGCAATATGCAGCGATAAAGAAACCACAAGTGTTGCTGTTTTATTTAAACCAGACAGAGCCATAGGTGGATGAACGGAGTTTTGTTATTTACCAACATGAGCTCGCTGTTTTTCTCCAATACTCCGTCCGGTCCGGTCTGCAGCGCTCCCACCGGGTCGGGCGCGGTGACCAGCGCCCTGCGAAACGACCTGGGCTCCAACATCCACGTGCTGAAAACCCTCAACCTGCGTTTCCGCTGCTTCCTCGCCAAAGTGCACGAGTTAGAGAGGAGAAACAAACTGCTGGAAAGCCAGCTGCAGCAAGCTCTGCAGAGACCGCAGTACCGCCACCTTTACACCCGTGAAGTCGCCGTGCAGACGGACGGTCCCGAGTCGAGACTGCCGGGCACCATCTGGAGTTTCACCCACGTCAGGAGGCAAGGGGAGCGCTTTGAGACCCTGCAAGGGCCCGGGGTGACATGGACGCATCCGGACGGAGTTGGTGTCCAAATTGACACAATTACCCCAGAACTGAGGGCCCTGTATAACGTGCTGGCCAAAGTCAAGCGGGAGAGGGACGAGTACAGGAAAAAGTGAGTAAAGTAAACACTATTAATGTGAAAGTTGTGTGCGGGTATTTTATATGCTCAAATAATCTCAAGCTAGGATATGTCCAGTTGTAGTTTGCAGGGGAGCAGCAAGAAATTTAAGGCCTTGAGTGAATGGTGAAGCCCCCACCACCAAAATTTATTTCTTTACAAAAAGCTGCTAATAGGGAAGCTGTTCCCTTAAGCTCTTTCCTTTGCATTTACATAGATGCACAGACACAAAGATACTGAAAAGTTTAAAAGACATGTCATATCGTAACGGACAGACACACAATACCTGCAATTATTCCATATTATACTCTAGATTGTAATCAGTTACACAAAAGGTCTGACTCATTCAATGAGTCAAGTTGATAGCGGTTTATAAAGGGGAAACAAGTTTTCCTTTACAGTAAATCTGGGAATATAATTGCTATTGAATACACTTCTCACATGTTAAATAGTTCACTTTTGAGCAAAACTGTTTCTCAGTATTTGGGAAGTTAGGCAGGAACTCAGCCAGTTTTCAAGTAGTCTTTAAAGTTTCCACAAGACAAACCACACATTTGTCTCTTTATAAACTTCTACATTTACTTTGGATTGAAGTTAGCCGAACACGAGGACTGATCTGTCTGTCAAGGGGGGAAAAAAAAGTTTATTAAGAGACATGATTGGTAATTTTGGCTCATGTTGTCACTTCTAACTTATTATTGTGGCTTTTCTTCTCCCGTGTGGACGTGGTTAGACAATATATCCAGATGCTCATCTGACAGGTATAGAGGAGCGTGATGACAGCTATCACAGTGACAGAGTGTCACTTGAGCTAGTACATCCCATGAAGTATTCAGAGCCGAGTGGCTGTTTGGCACTTTAGTTAACCAAACACGTTTTTCCATGAATTTAACTGATCCCGTTTTTTTCCCATTTCTGCGGAAATTCCTTTGCACGGCTCAGTTTTCAGCAATTGTTCTCTTTTTAGTCATACTAATTGTGTCCGCCTGTGGACTCACTGTAGGATCCCCAGCTGACTGTGAGTGTGTGACTGCTGGCCGTCTTGGCCGGCTACTGGAGGGGTGTGGGGATTGCCA